CTTGGGATGAAGTCCTCCGTTTTTCATTAGTAATATGCTTGACATGCTCTATTCTTAAGAAACATACACTTTCCATATATGAAAATTTCGTGGATGCATAACTAATTCATAGAAACATGTCATACTTAGGCTTGTTTATACATAAAGAAGCTCATAATTAGGTAATACATAACATATTACACATAACCTCCATGGTCATTCATTACATCAAATATATATGTTCATACAATCATTAACTAATCACAAAGATCACTCATTCAAGCATGCTTCGAAACCCTTTAAGAATTATTTCCACACTTGAAATCAATCATAGATTATTAAGCTAAAAAATAAATTAAGAAATTGGAAGCACTTTTGAGGTAGTCATACTGCACAGGTCATATTCAAGAAGGCATATCTCGAGTTATACACAACGGATTGATATGATCTTGATCTTGTTTTAAATATTAGAGAAATAGATACAATGTTTATGTTTATACCTCAACCCATTTGGATAAGTAAGATGTCCAAAAATCACTCAGAAGGCCACGGACTTGATAGTGGCAACCATGGTAACATGCCTTTTTAAAGGCTTTTCCATACCTATTTACCTCCACTTACTCCCTAACTTTTCCTAACCATTCTCCCCTGTGAAAACATGTTAAATGATCAATAATAACCTCCCTTGTAACAAGTTAAATGCTCATGACACAACCATTTCCATTAATTGTCATCAAATTTCAATTTTCTACAATTCACATATAAATACATCAATTGCAAATTATAGCATGAAACCAAGCTCAATCTTTTGTGACAGAATTAAGTTTCCCTAATACTAAACCTAGAAACCTAATTCTTATTTCATATCAAAGGGAGGTTTCCCTTACCTTGTGTGAAGAAATTACACTCTTTTGCAAATTTCCTCCTCTTTATCTCCAATTGACTCTTTATCCTAAAATAATTCATAAGAAAACTTTATTAAATTGAAACACATAATAGTCATATAAGACAAGGAGTTGAAATTTACCTCCTAATACCCTTAATAAAGGAAGAAATGTAAGACACTTGAAAGATTGCAACTAAGAAGCTTGGAATTTCAATGGAGGAAATAGAATTAATGGAGAAGTATTGAAGAAGATGATGGAAAGTGGAAGAATACATGTGTTGGCCGACCTATGCAAACTAAAATCAAGATTCTTTTTTTGCAAAAGTCATTCATTTGTCTTTTGCATTTAATGACTTAAAACATTAGTTCCCTTTTTGCCCTTATGTAATGCCCTATTTGAGATACATAGCCATTGTTTATGTTATGGCCTCAAGGTTTACTGAATTGCCCCTAAATGAGGTTGTATCTTATTCATGTTGTTTGGTTGGCCCTTGGTTGAGTTATGTTTTGGGTTTGGTTAAGTGTTTACCCTAGAATTGATCAAGATTTAGCAGATTTTGGAGTTGCAGTCTTTGGCAGGGCGAAGAATAGTCTTCGCCACGGCGACATTGGCTTTGTGTATGGCGGTGTCGGTTCTGTAATTCTTCGTCGAGGCGACAGAGAATTCTTCGCCGCGACGAAGGGCTGGCTGAGTTTTTGTTTGAGTTTTTAGAGAATTCTTTCCTAAGGGCAAAATGACCATTCTACCCCTAATTAGCAGGAAAAGTGGGGAGTAAAATGCAAGAAAATTTCATGGAGAATAGTGTAGAATGGGGGTGAGTTTGTAAAGAATTAAAGGATAAAGGTGAAATTTTCAAGAAAGAGTAGGGGCAAAATGGGAAAGAATGTATATTATATGAGCTAATAAGAGTTTAGTTCTCTAAACCCCTTCATTTCACCCATTTTCCACCGCCTCTTCATCTCCCGTTTTCTCTCAATTCCTCACTCAATTTTCCAAGGGATTTTTGAGAGTTTTGAGTTGGGATTTGACAAAGATTTGATCCTAAGCAAGAAGAGGTAAGAATCTCTACTCTAGATATGAGTTTTATTTATGTAAGGGTTAAGTTATTACTAAGTTTATGCTTAGGAAATAAGGGGAAGCTAAGGTCTAACAAGAGTAGAGAGTTTTAGTGAAGACTACTCAAGTATGAGGTAAGTAAATCCAACTCAAGCTAAAGTTTAAGAAATCCTTGAGTAGAGATTTTCTTTATGCATGTATATATGATGCTTGTTGAGAAATTGAGTAGAGTTGTATGTCTATTTGTTGAGAAATGGACTTGAGATGAATATTCATGTTGCATTTGTTGGATATTCTTCCTTTATGAGAAGTGTTGATGTGTGATGAGTTTGAGATGAAGTTGGAGGAGATTTAGTAAATTTTTTAGGAGTGTTCTTCTATGATAGGAATTATGTCCATAGAAGGGAGTTTCTTCCCATTTTGGGTGATTAAAAAGAGAAATAGAATTGTAGTTATAGAGGAGGTTTTGTATGCACATGAGTTGTTTGATAAAATGCCTAAGTGAAAACATGTTACCAAACTGCCCTGTCACAGCCGTGACTTTATGAGTGATTTTTGGGCATCTTATGGATTGAACTGGGTTTAGACCAAAGCATAAAAGTTATAGCCCTGTCTCTAAGATTTAAAACGAGATAAAAATCATAGCAATCCGATGTGTATAACTCAAGTTATGCTATTTTGAGTGTGACTTGCACAGAATGACTGTCTTTGATGCAATAATGCACTTGTGCTTTCATGAGTACATTAATGAGCATGAATCATCCATATGCATGAATTATGCATTATAGAAGAGTAGAGAATTTTGAGTACAAGCTACACTATGAGTACTAGCTTGAGAAATAGTAGAGAACTTTGTGAATAGACTACTCTAAGAGTAAGCTATACTATGAGCACTAGCTTGAGGAAGAGATGAGTATTAGCTTGAGCAAAAGTAGAGAATTTTGAGTATAAGCTATACTATGAGTAATAGTTTGAGTGAGAAAGAGTAGAGAATGTTGAGAATAGCAACTCTAAGAGTAAAGAGAATGATAACACTCTAATAGTAAAGAAAAAGAGAGATTGAGCACTAGCGAATAAAAGAGAGAAAAGTGCTACATAAGAGAATAGAGTAGGTTGTGTGATGGGGAACCCGTGAGTGATGAGTAAAGTCATGAGAGTGGGTGCTTTGTGATCCCCAGCTATGCCTCCGGTTAGATGGGGCTGTGACCGTCACGAAGAGTGGAACATGAGGTTTCAGCCGTGCCTCCGGTTAGATGGGACCGTGACATTCAGAGAGAGAGAGAATACACTCACGTGGCCAAGGGTTCCGAATCCATGCATGACCGAGTCCGATTGGCAGAGAATGAGTAGAAGTCACGAATAGTGGGTTGGTGCTTTGTGATCTCCACCCAGCTGTGCCTCTGGTAAGATGAGGCCGTGACATGCAAGTGAGGAAGAATGAGTAAACATGAGAAAGAATAAAGAGAGACAATGAGTAGGGTTACGAAGAGTGGGATGAGTACCCAGTTGTGCCTCCGGTAAGATGAGGCCGTGACCTATAACAAAAAGTTAACAGAAAAGAGTTATGAGAAAGAGAGATAGAAAGAGAATCAGTAGAAGTCACGTAGAGCGGGAGAAGTCCCGGCCGTGCCTCCGGTAAGATGGGGCCGTGACATTCAAAGAGCGAGTTAGTAGAAATGAATTATGAGAAATGAGAATGAGATAATACAGAGGATGAGAAAAAAATGAGATAATAGAGAGGATGAGAAAAAAATGAGAAAGCTTGGGAAAGAATGAGATAGAAAGAGAGAGAGTATGAGAAAGAATGAGAGAGTTTGAGTTAGTAAGAATAGAGAGTAGAAGAAAGAAACATGCAGTTCTTTTGCATTAATTGCATGTACATCTCATACATGCATGCACCATGAGTTCTTCCATGGTTAGTGAGAGTATAACGAGAATAAGAGAGAGAACCATGATTTTCCTTCATGGTGAGTATGATGAGAATAAGAGAAAACCATGTTTTTCCTTCATGGTGAGTAAGATTAAGAGAAGGAGAAAAGAGAATAAGAACAGAGAGAAAGAAAGAATAAAAAAAGAGCAGAACAGATTTAAAGGAGAATAAAAGTATTAGAAAGGAAGAGAAAAACAGTGAGAATTAGAAATAGAAGAACGACAGAGTAAGAAAAGAACCAAAGAGTGAGTTATAGGGACAGGTAGTGAAGGATTTACTTATTGAGCATTGTTGTGCTCATCCCATTGTTCTTCCATGTTTTGCAGGAAATAGGAGCAGCGGTCAGATGAACGTCGAGGAGCGGAGAGTATTGGCACTACTGTCCACCAGTTATGATATTTTGTATTAAGTAGAAAGTTTTTAATACATAGTATATTGTATTTGTAAAGAATTATATTTTATTGAGTAAAGAGAAAAAAATTTGAGCCCACTATTTTCCATACGCTATGTATTTCTATAATTTACATAGTATGAACTATAAGAATAGTAGTAGAGAGCAGGTGTTACACCTTAACAATTTTCTTTTTATTACTCAATCCTTTATCATCTTTATCTTGTCAAGCCAACAAAATATCATCATTCTCTTACCACTTTATCCTAAGTCATGTGCATGGTCGTTAACTTAGCACATAAAAATGGAAAGACTATTTTACTCTTGGACGTACCGATGGGGTTTACATTTCTCCCCTCCTTATAGGAATTTCATCCTCGAAATTAAGCAAATAACTCTGGGTAGCAGTCTCTCATGTCTTGCTCGACTTCCCAAGTAGCTTCCTTAACCTTGTGATTTCTCCAAAGAACTTTGACAAGTGGAATACTTTTATTCTAGACCTCTTTAATCTTTCTATGCAATATTTGGATTGGACACTCCTCATAAATCAAATTCTCCTTCAATTTCACTTCCTCTGCTTGTAATACATGAGAAGGATCATTTATGTACTTGCATAACAATGAAACATGAAGAACATTATGCACTTGTTCCATGCTCAGTGGTAATGTAAGTCTGTAAGATACTTTTCCAATCCTTTCTAGCACTTTAAAAGGACCAATGTATCATGGAGCAAGCTTTCCTTTTCTGCCAAATCTCATTACACGTTTGTATGGGGAATCTTAACAAAAACTTTGTCCCCTACTTGAAATTCCACTTCCTTTCTCTTCAAGTTTGCATAACTCTTTTGGCGATCTTGGGCTTGTTTCATTCTCTCTTTGATTAACCTGATATCTTCAATCATCTTTTGAGTCATCTCTGGTCCTAAGGCTTGAACCAAAGACTCCTTCTTTCCTATTTCATCCCAATACAAAGGTGATATGCACTTTCTCCCATATAGAGCTTCATATAGTGCCATTTGGATAGTAGCCTGATAACTGTTGTTATAGGAAAATTCCATTAATGGAATTATATCACTCTAATTTACTTTATGATCCATACAACAGGCCTGTAAAATATCTTCAATCACTTGATTGGTTCTTTTAGTTTGACCATCTGTTTGGGGGTGAAAAACCATATTAAAAGCTAGCCTTATACCTAGCACCTTTGTAACCCATGCCAGAAGGCTAAAACAAATCTTGAATCTCTGTCTGACACTATTGTCTTAGGCACACCATGCAACCTCACAATTTCTTTTACATAAATCTGACCCAACTGATCTGAAGTAGTTGTATCCTTCACTAGTATGAAGTGCGCTGACTTAGTTAGTCTATCTATAATCACCTATAGCGCATTATACCCTTTTTGTACTCTTAGAAGGCCAACAATAAAATCCATAGATATGTCTTCCCATTTCCATTCAAGAATACTAAGAGGCTATAGTAATCCTAATGGTCTCTGGTGTTCAGCTTTAATTTGCTAACAAATTAAACATTTAGCCACATAATCACTTATATCTTTCTTCATACATGACCACCAATAGCTTTTCTTTAAATCTTGGTACATCTTTACACTTCCAGGGTGGGTTGTATAAAGTGTATCGTGTGCTTCTCTAAGAATTTCACTCTTCATCTCTACATCTTAAGGAACACACAACCTATCTCGAAATTTCATAATACCATTCACTACACTAAAATTTGTCTCTTTGCCCTCATTTACTCGCTTGTAGATTTCCTTGCATGAATCATCAACTACTTGTTTTTCTTTGATCTCCTCTATTAAAGCAGATTTGATTTCCAATCTAGCACATCCTCCAGTTACAACCTCAATTCTCTCCCTGAGGATTTCTTGCTGCAACTCTTTTTGTATTGTGATTTGGAATAGAGGAACTTTCTGGCTTAAAGCATCTGTTACTACATTAGCTTTCCCTAGATGGTACTTGATTTCACAGTCATAGTCTTTGACTAACTCTAACCATCTTCTTTGCCTCATATTCAACTCTTTGTGAGTGAAGAAATACTTTAAACTCTTGTGGTCTGTGTAAATATTACTCTTGACAACATTAGATAATGATGCCAGATTTTTAAGGAAAACACAACTGTTGCTAATTCTAAATCATGTGTAGGGTACCTCAGTTCATAATCTTTTAGCTATCTAGAGGCATAGGCTATCACCTTCTCATTTTGCATCAATACTGCCCCAAGACCATTGTATGAAGAATCGGTATAAATGTCATAATCAACACCCTCCTCGGGCAAAGCTAAAATGGGAGTTGTGGTCAATCTCCTCTTTAACTGGTGGAAACTCTGCTCACATAAATCTATCCACTGAAATGGAGTCTCTTTCTTAGTAAGTTTAGTGAGTGGACGAGCAAGTTTAGCAAACCCTTGCACTAATTTTTTGTAATACCCAGCTAGGCCTAGAAAACTGCTCACTTTCTTCACTATTGTTAGCCTTTTTCATTCAAGTACTGCCTCTACCTTACTAGGATCCTTTGATATGCCTTCTTTGGAAACCACGTGACCAAGAAACATTACCCGATCCAACCAAAACTCACATTTGGAGAACTTGGCATACAATTGCTTCTCCCTTAATCTTTGCAATACAAACCTCAAATGTTGTTCATGTTCTTCATTTGTTTTAGAGTAGACCAGGATATCATCTATAAACACCATAAGAAACTTATCTAGATAGTCATGGAAAACCCTACACCAAGTCCATAAATATTGTTGGTGCATTGGTCAATCGAAAAGGCATCACAACAAACTCATAGTGTCCATACCTAGTTCGGAAGGGAGTTTTTTGGATGTCATTCTTTGCAATTTTGACCTGATGGTAGCCTGGCCTCAAATAAATTTTAGAGAACACTGAAGCACATCTTAGCTGATCAAATAAGTCATCGATACGAGGCAATGGATATTTATTCTTCATTGTCACCTTATTCAACTCCCGATAATCTATGCACATTAAGAGGAATCCATCCTTCTTCCTAACAAACAGAATTGAAGCACCCCATGGTGAACGACTCAGTCTGATAAAACATTTATCTAATAACTCTTGAAATTGCTTCTTTAACTCTTGGAGTTCTGCTGGAGCCATTCTGTACGAATCTTTTGAAATTGGTGTGGTACCCAGATCCAACTCTATACAACATTCTACTTCCCTTTCTGGAGGCACACCTAGTAATTCATCTAGAAATACATCCGCAAATTCCCAAACTATGGGCACATTATACACACTAGGGGTTGGAGTCTTCGACATATTCACTACATGGGCTATATACCCCATTCATCCATTTCTCAACATCTTTCTCGCTTTGATGGCACTTATCATACCAGTAAGTATGTGACCTTTTCCAAAATTAAATTTATCTCTATTATCTAAATTAAATCTAACCTTTTTCTTGTGACAGTTTATCTCTCCAACATCCTACCTAGGAAATCCATGCTTAGGATAACATCAAAATCGGGCATATAAAAAACAATCAAGTCAACTTCTAACTCTCGCCCATCAATAACTATTGTTTCCCCACAAAGAACCTCACTAGTTACTACACTTTTCCCATCTGGCAATTGTATCTTTAAGATTGGTTCCACTTTATTAGGCTCTAATCCTAATCTTTCAACAACTTCATAGGAAATAAAGGAGTGGGTAGCTCCTAAGTCAATTAAAGCATATAATGGGACAAAGTGGAAATATAACTGACCATTGACTGCTGATGGGTTGGCTTTTGCTTGGCTTTGGGAGATAGTGAATACTCTGGCATTAGCTCCTCCAATTGTCTGAGTAACCAGAGGATGAGGGTTTACACTTAAAGTACACATTTTCCCCATTAGGCATTCCCCTTTATGTTGCTTGCCACATTTCTGATAGTAAGAAAGATTATTCTTCTTCTACTATTGCCTTTTACCCTTCCAATTCTTCTTATTTACCTGAGGCTGAAAGTTCTTCTTGTTCTTACTATCTTTGGTAAGGGAGAAGGCTTCATCACAACTCTTTTGTGGCTTTGAAAGAGGATTATTTGCTACAACCACTGGTTTGGACTGCTGAACATCTCTATTGACATACACTTTTGCCCGTAGTGCTCGATTCAAGGCTTCAAGATATGTCGGTAGAGGCTGAGCACCCGCCATAACATCTCGGGCTATCTCGGGGTGTAAGCAATTTACAAATCTTTCTATTCTCGCCATAGGAGCATCAACCATAACAGGAGCAAATCGAGCTAATGAGTTGAATAGAGTAGAATACTTTTTAACTATCTTACTCCCTTGCTGCAAATTCATAAACTCTTGAGTCTTAACAAATAACATATATGTTGTCCTGTACTCTACATCAAACAACCTTTTAAAATCACCCCAAGTGAGAGCGACAATATTGAGAGCATGCTCGATTAATTCCCACCAAATTCTGGCATCACCTCATAGCAAATAAGTGGCATATCGAATCTTTTCTTGATCTATCATCGTAAACAATGCCACTGCCCTCTCTACTGCTTTGATCCATTCTTCAGCTATTGACGGATCGGTAGTGCCACTAAATTCAAGTGGCTAGTGCTTGCTTGGGAGCCAATAAATAGGTTCCAACTGCACTTGAGAAGTGGTAGGTGTTGATAAGTTGGCCCTGCACCCTGATTTAGAGGTAGTACAATCGTATTATGATTTCCTAAGGCCTCCCTTATTGCCGCCCAGATCATATCTCCCACTGTGGCAACATCCAATCTTGTTGTAACATTTGGATTGGTACCTACAGGTGGAGTTAGAGTCCGCTTACCTTGTCTGGATCTAGTTTCTATAACGCCCCACTTGAGGTACGTAGTTGCAAATTACTTACATGTTCATTGATTCAACTTCAATTGAGTTTGTATGTTGTCATGGTTGGTTAGTTGGGCTTTAATTGAAATGGTATGTTAAGTTGGTTGAGTGTTTGCCTTGAAAGTGGTTGAGACTTGAGGAATCTTGGAATTACAGTATTCGTCGGTGTGAAGAATAGTCTTCGCCAAGGCGACGTGGGCTTTGTAATTGCGGTGTCAATTCTGTAAGTTTTCATCGGGGCAAGGGAAATTTCTTCGCCGCGGCGACGGGACGACAGAAAAGTTTCTTGAGGTTTCTAGAGAATTCTCCATAGGGGTAAAATGACCTTTCTACCCTTAATTAGCAGGAAAAGTGGGGAGTGAAATGTAAAGAAATTTCATGGAGAATGTGTTGGAGATGAGGGTGTATTTGCAAAGAAGTAAAGGGTAAAGATGGAATTTCTAAAAAAGAGCAAGGGTAAATTGGGAATGTTTGGTTGTAAATTGAGCTAACAAGGGTTTAAGTGTAGTAAACCCTTCATTTCACTCATTTCCACCGCCATTCTCACTCTCTATTTTCTTCCTATTCTCCATTCAATCTTCCAAGATTTCTAAGGAGTTTTACGGAGCTTTTGGGTAGTTTTTAGTAGAGATTTCATCTAAAGCATCCTCAGGTAAGGATTCTTGCTTTAGATGTACCTTTGCTTATAGTTGTGTTGAAAGCTTATATTGTTATTGTTGTTGTTTTAAGTTGTAGAGAGAAGCTAGGCTATAAAAAGGGAAGGAGAAGTGTTAGAAAAGCCACTTATTCACAAGGTAAGTAAATCCAACCCAAGTTGAGATTTAAGAACTCCTTTGAGTAGAGATTTATGTATGAATGTGTATGTATCATGTTTGTTGAGACGAGATGAGACGAGATTATAGTTATTGATGAGTATTGAATATATTGGAATATGAGAAGTGTTAAGATTTTTATGATGTTGAGTTGAGTTTTGATTGAAGATTGAAGGAAGTTTTGAGCAAACCCTATAGGAGTGTTTTTCTTTGGTATGAATTTAGAGTGTATGAGGGAGTTTTCTCCCATTTTTGGATGATTAAGTTATTGTTAAAATAGAGTTTTTGTATGCACATGAGTTGTTTGATGAAATGCTCAAGAGAAGCATGAGTAAGAGTAGAAAGCCTTAATTTTTGCTTCATGGCATAATTGCATTTCATGAGTGCATTAATGAGCATGAGTCATCCATATGCATTAATTGCATTAGAGAAAGAAAGTAGAGAAAGAGTTGAGAACTTTGAGTGTGAGCTTCATTAAGAGAAAAGAAAGAAAAAGAGAATAGAGTAGGTTGTGCGATGGGGAACCCGTGAGTAATGGGTAGAGTATTCCTGCATGTACGCCGCTTTGAGAGAGCGGCATGAGTATGAGAGAGAGAAGTGGTGTAGCCCGTGAGAATGCATGTGGATGAGGGCTATACCCGAGAGTACCCGAGATTGAGATTATATACTCACATGGACAAGGGTTTCGAATCCATGCATAACCGAGTCCGATCGGCTAGAATGAGCAGAAGTCACGGAGAGCCTTCGGTAAGATAAGGCCGTGACTTACAAAAGAGAGTTAGTAGAAAAGAGTTATGAGAAAGAGAAAATAGTGAGAAGTATAAGAGAGAGAGTAAATGAGCATTGTAAGGAAAGAATTAGAGAGAGTTACGGGGTTAGATGAGTAGAGGATTTACTTACTGAGCATTGTTTTAGTGCTCACCCCATTGTTTCCTATGTTTTGCAGGATCTAGGTAAGGACACGATCAGATGGACGTCGGCACGCGAGGGGACGTGGTTACACTATCCACCATGTTTTTGATAACTTTTGTACATGATCCAAATTTTATATAAAGAATGTATATGTTTAATAAAAGGAAAAAAAAATTGGGCCCAACTCTTTATATGTATTTTATTATGTATATTTTTTGAGTATTTGAGTAGGAAGCAGCTATTACAGTTTCTCGACTCATCTTGACACTTATAGAGTCAAAAGAAATGAACAAACTTCGTTATTTCATTAACTTAAACTTAAACAAGTAAAGGAAAAACTTACAGTGGTTAACTTGTGAGGGTGTGTCAACGTAGCATGAGGGACATACGAAAAACTTCATGAAATAACAATCTAGTTCCATAAAATAGAAAACATCTCTTAAGTACCAGAACCGTGCTCTGATACCAATTGTAACACCCCCCTCAAGCTGGGTACCCTCTAAGTATTCCAGTACTATGGAAACATAGAGAATTCATGACTAGAAGGTTGTGTGATTTAAAACGTAAATCCTGGTTACAAACATGTACTATATGAAAATAAATAAATAAAAACTTCTCCTCTCATTTACATTACTTTCTTAATCAACCTGTCGAAATATGATTATATATAAAACATATGGTTTAAGGAAAACAACTAAATCAATTGTTTAATAGCGGAAGCAAATATAAAATATCTCCCATCATTTATAAGCAAGACATATTCATTATTTCATAAAACTTAGATTATAGACATCAAACTATATATATTAATTCAAAAACAACATCCTTTATATAACATCATAAGTTTAATTAAAAGAAAAGTTAATATGCATGCCCCCAAGCTTCCTTGACTACCGTTTGCCATTACCACTTTAACCATTACTTGTAAAACATGGAAACTAGGGAAATGAGTGCTAATCACTTAGTAAGGGTATCGATCATTTAACCTTATGTAACATTCTCAAACTTGGAAAACATCCTATTTACTTATACATGAACCAAACATTAATAACATAAAAATAACATGTATGTAATATAACATAGCATATTCAGTTCATATCATAATGCATAATATAATTCATGTAGTGCTTTCCTTTAATGTTCATGAATTATGCACTTCAATGCCATGCATGTATAAATACATTTTTCTTTGAAAACTTTTACTGTCTCCCAGTCGGACTAAGTTGAGGCATGGATTACGGAACCTTTGGCCAATGAGCTAACCTTAAATTATAACACAATCCCCATGGTCATGCATGCTATGGACTATTCATTTCTTTTGGTCTAGACATGTGCACGAGTGAGCTCAAGTTCCCTATAACATGCCAACAGCTTCCATAAAACTTAAAAATCATTTTCTTCACAAAAATGCATGTCTATGTACCTTGAAAGCATTTTACTCAAACTTGGGATCTAGTCCCCCTTTTTTCATTATTAATATGCTTGACATGCTTTATTCTTTAAAAACATACACTTTCCATATATGAACATATCATCATGGCCATTTCGTGGATGCATACTAATTCATAGAAACATATCATACTTAGGCTTGTTTATACATAAAGAAGCTCATAATTAGGTAATACATAGCATATTACACATAACCTCCATGTTCATTCGTTACATCAAATATATGTGTTCATACAATCATTAAATAATCACAAAGATCACTCATTCAAACATGCTTCAAAACCCTTTAAGCATTATTTCCATACTTGAAATCAATCATAGATTATTAGGCTAAAAAATAAATTAAGAAATTGGAAGCACTTTTGAGGTAGTCATGCTACACAAGTCATGTTCAAGAATGCATATCTCGAGTTATACACATTAGATTGATATGATCTTGGTATCGTTTTAAAGCTTAGAGAAAGAGAAACAAGTTTATGTTTAGACCTCAATCCATTTGGATAATTAAGATGTCCAAAAATTGCTCAGAAGGCCACAAACTTGATAGTGGCAACCATGGTAATATGCCTTTTTTAAGGCTTTTCCATACTTATTTACCTCCACTTACTCCCTAACTTTTCCTAACCATTCTCCCCTGTGAAAACATGTTAAATGATCAATAATAACCTTCCTTGTAATATGATAAATGTGTTAGAGTACGTGCCCTAGAGCCAATCAATTATTATAGAATTGACTCTTTGTAATAATGTTCATTGATCAATAAAAGACATTTTATTCTATATTGCGTAAATCATCATTATATGTATTGATATATGTCCTTAGAATGGTAGAACCATGACGAGGGTATCAAGTGTTTCAAATCTTGATAGTGAGAACTCTATGAGCATATATGGTGGCCATTCTAGAAATGTCCGTAGCCTTGGTATTATTCTGAAGTAAAGGCACAAATAATACGGTAAGGCTATTATAGTGTTGAATGACCCTGTCGAAAGACAGTGACCGATCTCACTTGTCAAGGTTGTTTGGTGACAACCTGGTGTAACACATGGGTGCTTGCTGTAGGCAAGTTCACTGGATTGACCCACTAGACGATTGCATATGGATGGTAACCTCAGTGTCTATGGAACAAATCCTCTAACGAATGGTGGTGCATGTGATCCTTAGACTTGAGATCACTAGAGTGCCTTGTGCACCTATTGGTGTAGTTTGACACTAGCCCAACATAGTTCTATTCAGAGTTGTCAATATGGCAGTGATTGGGTGCATCAAGACTATGTGGATCAATAG